CGTAGCGGCCGCTCTGGCTTGTAACGAAAGCTCTGCGAGCGATCGCACGGAGACGTTCTTCAATCGGACAGGAATGTGAATAGCAATCGAGGAGAAGCTCGTAATGAATGTTGGCTAGATGTGGGATGCCAAGTCGCTGATAGAATGTCCCTGTGAGAAGCATTTGACTACCGTAACTGTTGACGTTTTCTTTGATGTTGAGATGTGAAGACTGATAAATATGTTCTAATGCCCGGGGAATAGAGTCGCCCTATATGTGAGTTAGTCCTGGTAGTCTGTCAACGCGATCATGAACTACGTGCCGTCGCCAGAGAAAGCTTTGCCTCGTTGAGTAAACTTGCGCAGAGCAGGTTGTACATCTTGGTCTCCTTGGCTTTCGCTTTCAAAAAGGCCAACGCATCCCTCTCAGTTCCGAGCATGCTCATGTAACCGGCACCCCTCATCTGCTTGGGGTAGGCTTTCGCCATATGATTCAGCCAGCTGAGACTGAAGCTCAGACAAGTCATGTCCTGGTTCTCCCGGGCTGTGGCAATTGTCTCGTTGATAGCAGCTATCGCTTCGCCAAAGCAGCCGAAGTCGGCCTGAAGGATAGCCATATGCAGTAAAGCATACTGGTAATGGATCTTCTCGCGAGTCTGCATAGCGTAATCGTAGTAGCGATGTAGATTGTCAAAAGCAGATGTGTAGTCTCCGGCTTTCCAGGCATCGAAGAATTGTACGAGATGCGCTTGCCGATGTACAATGCCGGACGACTTGACCATATTGCGAAGTTGACTCTTCATATCGCCAGGAACACGGTCTCCGAACCTCTGAAGCCTATCGAGTTGGAAGTCCAGGATTCGATCCAGATCGTTCAAACTCATGCCCGCTCCTTCCTCTTGATCTTCTTGTAGATTCCCGTACGCGATCTCGTACATGTCGTCGCCAGCTCTCAGACCCATCTCGGATACAACCATGTCTACACCACTTGATGCCAAGCCAGCCAATCTCTTTGTCCATTGAGCTGTTGGGGCTCTGTACCTGATAAATGAAGACCATAGTTTCATTGAATCGTCGAACTGCAGCCTCGTGAATTCCAGGTGCGCTCTACGAACAAATGCTCCAAGTGGTGATGTCTTGGAAAGATGGATCCGATCTGGTGATTCTTGATCTTGTGTACCGTGTGGCGGAGGTGTAACCAGATCTAGGATACTGTCGAAGAGAGCGTGCAGCGCATCGAAAGAGTTCATTTCCCACATGTGTTTGAGAAAGAGATCGAGAAGAGTTCGGCCAGGCATGTTGGAGGGGTGTTCTTGAAGTACATCTTCAAAGGCATCGATTGAGAAACACGTGTCTTGTTGACTGGAGATGTTGGAGCGCTGTGGCCGAGCGCTGGACGGTGCCGAAGGAAGATTGTTTGACAAGATGAAGGAAAGTACGGGTATCGTAGCGGAATAAGGAAGACTTGAAGTGCAATAGAGACGGGTCAAGACAAGAAGGCTGATCTTTTGCGCCGTGAGGTAGCGCGGTGTGGCCATGTTTGTTTGGCGGTTTAATGCTTGTAGCAGAACACAGCGCTGGGCGTTGACGGTGTCAGCGTTGGCGATTATCGCCAACAGAAAAACCTTTGTCGTGTGATTTCGCGCAATATGTGCATTGTATCCAGGTAAGGCGATTGCTGATTGTCAGGCAAGGCTGCGACGTCCAGGATGTGGTGTTTGCTGGAGGTCGTGGGAGGGAATGAACAACCGAGGCGGCGCGCAGCGCGTACAATACTTGTCGCGAAGTCATGCGCCCGAAAAACTGCCCAGGTGCCCCAATCACTACGCGATTGGTGCCTAGGTTACCAAGCCATCAATTTGCCGGCGATCTGGCGGTACAGACTTCATTTCACGACTGTAAACAAGATTTCATAGTTTGATATGGATATGAACGTCTACATCTATGCAACTGTTTCCCGTGACGCATGGCCAAATCCTGAGTCTTTCCTCGCGACCTTCTTGAGATCGTTTGCACTTGACTGCAAACGCGGCACAGGAGCGCTGTTCAGAAATTCGTCCTCGTTTGTCGCATTTGTTGCCCAAATCTTGCTAATGCTCAGATCGTAGGGCCCCGGTATGCGGTCTATCAAGGATATGCCCACCGTCCTCACCTTCTGTGTCAACATTTCCCTCTGTGGCTCTACGACCTGCCCATGGTTCGTCCGCACGAACTCGTTCCACCTGATTAGAATGGTTTCCCACTCGCCCGGTGTCTTGGAGTGCAGCAGGTGCTGGTGGATGTCTGTAGGAACAATCGACTCGGTCTGCACGTTGACAAAGTACTTGCGGCCGTCCGACTTGAACTGGATTGCGAGGAAGTTGTACATGCTCACGTCCCACAGGGACTTGCCAAAGATGGTGGAGCCTCGATCAAGTGTCCTCCATCCGGCATAGCCTGTTCTTTGGATGTGTGGCTGGTTGTGTGGCAGTTGTGTGGATATGGTGCCATGGAAGCGGACGTGGGGGGGTTCCGTCTGGGAGACAGGATGGTGGTCGAAGTTGACGGTGGAGAAGCCGCCGATGTCTTTGTCGCTCATGCGCTTGCATCGTTCCAGATCCTCAGCGTGGTCGAAGTGCATAAGCGGAAAGGGCTTGGACGGGGAGCGCAGGCCCTCGAGCTTGAGTGCTGCGCGTGTCAGTGGCGGCGCATGCACACATGCAGCTGCAGAGCTCACCGAAGTTGGAGAGGCGCTTGAACTCGTCCAGACTCCGCTTGACGAAGCCAGGCGCGAGGCACGCCGATGTTGGTCGCATGGCTGCGTGAGGTGTGTGCTCTTCCCAGGGGCCTCGATGAGCTCACAGCGCAATCCATGGCACTGGGGTGTGAATGACGCCGCGGTAGTCTCGCCAGCCGCTAGCCGCTTTGGATGGCCATTCCAAAAATCTGGGGACCGCTGCATGTGCAAACACATGCCACCACCCTCCACTGCCCGGCGCGACGACTTCCCCTCATGATACCACAGCAGCCGACGCCCCGAACCTCCGACCCTTGACTTTGCGTGCGCCTTCCTCAACCCACGCCGCCACCAATCGCCACGCGCCTCCCCTGCCTCGATGCCACTGCAAGAAGCACCCAGACCTCGAGGCCTCCGAGACGCCACAACCCAGCCGCTGCAACCACTGCCCCCTTCGTCGCGAGAGCTGGGAGAAGTCACCCCTCCAAAACAGCCAGATGGGACACCGGTAGCTAAACAAGATGTCAAGTCTGGAAAGTCGTGGGCGCATTTTGTCGCCGGAGGGTAAGACTACAGTTCACTCTGGACCACGCCTTGAGGACTAACACTGTCACAGCCTGGGTGGCATGGCCTCAGCAACCTTGACAGCCCCGCTCGATGTCCTCAAGACTCGACTGCAATCCACCTTCTACCAGCAGCATCTCGCCGCAATGCGCACCGCCCGCGGCCTGCCCCCCATCGAGACCATGTCCTTCGGCCGCAGCTCGCTACTGCACATACGGGAAACTGGAGAGATATTATGGCAGGTTCCAAAGGCAGAGGGGTGGCGAGCTCTCTTCAAAGGACTGGGACCAAATCTCATCGGAGTAGTCCCCGCACGCGCAATCAACTTCTTTGCATACGGAAACGGCAAGCGTCTGATCAGCACACATTTCAACAATGGTCAAGAGGCTGCATGGGTACATCTGTGTAGTGCAGCAGCGGCTGGTATCGTGACTGGGACCGCTACGAATCCCATCTGGCTGGTCAAGACACGACTGCAACTGGACAAAAACACACACTCGGATGGCCGCGGGCGGCAATACAAGAACGCATTCGACTGCACCATGCAGACCATACGGAAGGAGGGTGTCCGTGGCTTATATCGCGGATTGACTGCAAGCTACTTGGGCGTTACCGAGAGCACATTACAGTGGATGCTTTACGAGCAAATGAAGCTGTCATTGGCACGGAGAGAAGAGCGCGTCATTGCTAGTGGCAGACCGCCAACCGTGTGGGACCAGACTGTAGCATGGACTGGCAAGCTGACTGCCGCTGGATCTGCCAAATTTGTCGCAGCGCTCATCACATATCCCCATGAGGTTGTGCGAACGCGTCTGCGGCAAGCACCAATGGAAGATGGCCGACAGAAGTACACTGGCCTCATTCAGTGTTTTCGACTAATATGGAAGGAAGAGGGTATGGCAGCACTCTACGGCGGTTTGGTTCCTCACATGTTCCGTGTGGTACCTAGTGCCGCCATCATGTTTGGAACATATGAAGGTGTGCTCAAGTTCCTCGGAGAGAGCAGTAACATGTGATTACCAACGCCGGTATAGAGGTGGTGTAAACATGTATAGGACTGGATGCATACAAACGGCGTTATGAAAAGTTGGGATTTTGCGACGCATACACGGCGTCTTGTATCACCACTCTGCTCCTGCCGAGCATGTACTTGTATTATGTTAGAAAGGTGGAAGAATATATGACGACATGAGATTTGCGCATAAAGAACGGAAATCGGCTTTCACCTGACCAAGTGCACTTGAACAGTATTCCTGACCAGAAAAGCATCCGGTACTCTCTCCATTGGTCCTTGTAGTTTGTAACTAGCTTCCAAGGTTGTGAATGTGCAAGTTCAGCAGGGCACGGTGCGACCAATCGTACATGTACCTCACTAGCGCGAACTTCGCGCCCGAACATTGATCGACTTTGACATATTAAGCATCCTCATCGCGAACGCCCAACGTTCGCCCCGAGCATAAGCCAGCCCCCCGCAATGTCCTCACAAATGCCACTCCGGAGCATACGGATACCGGCGCTGCAACGACAATGTCTCTTCCTCCGCCACCAAACCCTCCTGCACGCCGCCCAACCCACCATAACCCACCCATCCTCCCGCCGCGCCTTCTCCAGCACCCCGTCACACCCAGCAAAGCACAGACAACTCGGACAAGATAAAGCGCAAGCCATAGCTGCAGCCCGATCCCAAATTTCGCCCTCACCAAATGTCAACTTTGAGCAAGCGCAAACCAACACAGATGCCATGGCGGAGGACATTGGTCTGCTGCAAAATACTATCGTGAGGGCGCCATTCTTGGACGTGTACAATGAATCGCCCGGCCTCGGAGGGGTCCTGAGATATTACTGGGAGATTGTCAAGCAAAAGGCAACAGGTCTCTACTCGTAAGTTGGACTTTCTTCGGGTTGGGACCGGGCCTGCGACATGAGGGGAGAAGCAGAAGAAGAAGAAGGACAACACATCCGAGATTAAAGTTGAAAGCGTATAGGACTAACATAAACCCTTAGACGATACTACTACCGCGATTGCATCCAGAAGTCCGGCTGGACAAAATATCTACCCGTCGACCTCTTCCATAACACACAATACAAAGTCCTAGCCAAGAGATACTACCAGCACATCTACAGAAGCTTCGCCTCGTACGTCTCTCCCGAAAATTCATATGACATACTTTGCAAACACACTAACACAAACCAACCAACAGAGGCAACGTAACGCCCCTCAAGCAAGTATGCCTACCACCCCTCGTAAAGAAACTCAAGCAACGAATCGCCGCCCGCGGCAAGACGACCCTGAAATGGAACCTGCACGAATTCAAATCCGCGCGCGTAATGAGCCACCGCGCGTCGCCCTTGGGCGAGCAGACACCAGACACAGCGTACAGACAAGTCGTTGTACGCCTCGTATCCGTTCAATCCGTCGAACGGTCTACGCCGACATCGCCCAAAATTTCCAAGTCTCCCATATCTGCTGCTCGGCTACCCTGGGTTCCAGATGCTGCGCGCCAACGAGCGGAAAAGGCACGTCAACAGAGGCAAAAATTCGAGGATGAAGGGGAGACGGAGAAGCCGGTCGCCAAGAGCGACGAGGCGTTTATCGATAATGGAGTTAAGAAGACTGTAGTCGAGTATCTGGTGTTGCAAAAGAGAGTCATCAAGGGTACGGAGGAGGACTGGAAGGTCTGGGGCTTCACCGAGGCGTCCACGCCGAGTGTGCTTGCGAGAGAAGAGCTGTATTGGTCGCAGATGCTGAACGTACAGGCTGGTGGTGCTGTATAGTGTTGGTAGCTCTGGGGATAGACACGTTGTAACAATATTTGTACATGTGATGGACATCATGAGGGCATGTAATTGTGCCCTAGAAACTTCAGATGTAGCCATGTATGATCTGGAAACCCAGCTCTGAAGCTGCAGATATGCGCTCCACTCTGAACCGGACATCACGTGGAGCATGCTACATGAAAAAAGTCCACTGTGTAGAGGAAGGTGGTCATATCATTTGAGCTCTTGCCAGTAGCAATAACGATAATCCAGGTACACGCATTCATTCGGCGCCCAGCATTCCACTGCCGCGCATATGCTCGAACCAGCCTCGTACTCCGCCCCTCTCTTCATCCTGGTATAGAGGCGTATGACGCAAGCTTACAAAAAGCTGTGCCGCTTTAGCCGTGCCACGGACGAGGGCAGCTGGCATATCGAGGAGGCACAAGGTAGTAGTCATGGACGACTAGAAACCGTGGACCTGATTTCTGATTAGACTGTGACTCGATGCTAAATCGTGCCGGGCTGTGACTCACCTTGATCGTCTTCGCATCAAGACCAAGTCCCTCCTTCTTGTCGGTCAAGAAGTCCTGGACGTCTTTGCGCTGATCGCCCTGGAGTTGGACGACTTCGCCCATCTCGGCGTCGCTTACAATGGTGCCATTGCAGGCAAACTTCTTTTTAATCACCTTGAGGATCTTCTTCTGGTCAAATTTCTTGGGGAGACCTTGGACAGTCGTCAAGGTCTTGCGGCCATTGCGCTCTAATGTCGTGTTAGCCTGGTGCGGCTAAAGAATAGCGTATGGCAGATGCGGGCCGTTGTGGGCAGGAGCGAGGTGTGTGAATGGGTTGGGTGCGTGGTAAGGTTTTTGCATCAGTGGGCAAGGGCGGTGAGGGACCTACGTTGGATACGAATATGAATGTAGTCCTGCTGAGTCTGCTTGACCTGGCCGGTATCTTCATCCGCTTCCGCGAACGGGTCTATGAATATCGTGTCAGTAGCTGCCTGGTATGCGCCTCGAGGGTCACGACTTACCGAAGGTCTTGAGGTTCTCGATGGACATACGACAGTCGGTGAGCGCGCGTGTAGGTGGGGGGTAGTTGGGTATGGATGCTTTGGGTAGCGGCGATTTCTTGGGTGGGCTGGGAGTGGAGTTGGGGTGGTTTTGGGGTGGTGACAAGTCGGGAGGGTGCAAGTGAGGGTTCCAAGGTTTGTAGCGTCGAGCAGGCTGAGAGAAAGAGGTGGGGAATGCGGCGGGAGAGGAAGGCGAGCCCCGCCGTGGTCTGTGCGCGCCAAAAGGGTGATGCTTGCCGTTCAGGGCTGATCGGTACCGGATGCGAGGCTGGAGGTGCGAATGAGACAAGACGAGGGTGGCATGGGACACATGGGGCGTGCAAGTGATATGGGTATTACGAGCGAGCTGACATGTATTGTCGCTTGCTCGGCGAGGACGTCGAATTATACAATTACACGGTACCGTTGCTACCTGAGTACCGGCTACGCACCAACCTCTCCTACGGCGGCCTACGACGGCGGCGCAGCAGCAAACGCCTCCGTGCCAGATGCTTGGCCCGGCCTGATAGGTGGTGGGGGGAGGAATATTGACGAGTAGGTCTGTGGTACAGCATCAACACGAGATCTGTCGGAGCCAGGGCCGAACTTACAACGAGGAGCGACATGGCTGTGATCTGGTTAGCTGTCTGAGCAAGCACAACGGGAATCGGCACATACCAGACATGCCAACCTGGAAGTAGGCGGGTGTAGTCGACGTCTTCTTCTGCTCGGGGGTCTCAGCAAGCCACGACTGGATAGCGAATACTACAGCAACCCTGCGTCGAGTCAATTAGGGAACGTGGCACAAGATGGGGAAGCCTACCAGCCGATCATCCTGTGCAGCACGCGTGATGTCAGTCATGGAGCTTTGCGCGCATCTGGGTGTTGCCTACTTGTTCCGCGTGAAGATCTGGGACACGATATCAGCCGTGCAACATGGGATTGGGAGAGCAGCACTTACAGCAGCCATGGGCAGTGTGCTCGAGAGCGTGCTCGACATGTCGTTGTCGTCCTTGGCCTTCTCTGGCTCGGCATAGGGCACGACTGCAGGAGGAGGTGCGTTAGACACGTGATCAATGGCGTTGGGATGGACGGGTCGAGCCGTGGAACCCCTATGAGGGCGCGGTGCGGCATCACGTACTCAGGTCGGCGCGCCGCATGTCTTTTCTGGAGGCCATCGTGGAGCTGGCGGGCAGGTGTCGGGCAGGTGTAGGCAGGTGTGTGGGCGGGTGGAGATGGGTGGTGGAGGATAGGGTGCAGCACTCGGACTGGGCGGCGTGAGCGGCGGCTGTGTGTCTTGCTGGGCCGGCATGGCGCTGGCCCCCGTCGTAGTGCGTCGTAGTGTGGATCCCTGCTCGCTCTATCGTATTACCGGGTGATCGACTCCGCTGTTCGCAATCCAAGATAACCTCAGACATCACGTCAACCGTCGCTCCCTCGACACGCCTCGCTCTGCCCATCAGCCCCATCCGAGCCGCACCGCCGTCCCTCCTTTGCTGCCAGCGTGTGAGGCTCGCACATGCCGCCGCCCCATCGACGCGGCTCCTGACCTCGCAGCCCTCGTCGCTCGCTCCCTTGGCCCACCCACTGCATGCGCCTGATACAACGATGAAGCCGCTGTGTGTGCGATGACTTCTCGACCTGGCCCGGGGATTCACGAATCTCTACAGACTCGTGGCAGCGCCCTGCCTCCTCGGTCCCAGGTGCAGCGCCGGCCCTCGAAGCCCGCCCACACCCTCCTTCAGCCGGACTGCATCGACCCGGCCCTAGAAGACGACCGTCCACCGGCACACGCTGCCCTCCACGATGCCGCGAGGCCGCCCCCGCGAGGACGCCCGCCGCTCTTCTACACCACCATCCCGACCCACGGCACCGAGCTGCCCCTGCACTCCTTTCCCTACCAGCCGGCCGCCAACCTGCCCCAGCCCCCACGCCCGGGCTCCCTGCACCTGAGAGACGCTTCGCACCAGCGTCGCATACTGCCCGGCGGCACCGGAGTCAAGGACGCGCCCAAACCCGGTGGGCCCGAAGTCGTCGTTCCACCCGTCCATTTTCCCGGTGGGAAGGCTGCCGATCTGTTTCCATGGACCGGCAACAACCCCGAGGACAACCTGTCCGAGGCGCTAGTCAAGGCAGGCGTCAGCAACAAGCCCCAGATCATGAACGAGTCCAACACCGCACGCCCCTCGCTCATCAACAACCTCAAGAACAAGTCGGGCCTCAGCACCCTGTCGACCCTGTTCGTCGCCGTGCTGGAGAAGCGACAGCAGACGGGCCGCCTCCAAACCCCAAACACCTTCAAGCCCCCACCGCGATTGACCCTGCGAGACTCGACCCGCGAGCAGTGGCTGCACGACTTGGCCAACCCAACCATTGGCCTTCGCCGTCTCAGCCGCACCATACCGCACGGCCTCACTGGCAAAGTGCTGCTCGAACAATGTCTGAACAAGCACATTCCTCTGCCGAGAGCCCTGTGGCTGGCCAAATGCGTAGGTATCAACGAGCTGCGTGCGCATAAAAGAAAGGGCCAGGCCGGTACCGTGACATGGGGCAGAGGCTGGACCAGTTCGGTCGAGCAATTCATAGACGGCGTCATCAGTACCATTGGCCAGGGTGATTGGAAACCCCGCATCACCTACGCCCTCCAGCTTGCGACCCATCTCTACAAAGAGCATCTGCTCGACGACGACCACTTTCTCGACTGGATAGTCAATGGCTTGGATACCTGTCCCTCGGAACGCCTATTTATCTGGCTGCTGGTCGTTTCCATATCACACTACTGGACCGCTGTAACCTGCTGTCGACGCCGCGGCAAACGTCTCGCCGAGTCATTGCTCACCCAGCTCGACAAAATCTATCGACTTGAGGATCTGCGACCTTATATCGCCGTTTTGCAATACCTTGAAAACACCATTGTCCGCTTGCTCGCCACACGACCTGCTTGCCTGCTGCTTCCAACTGCGTGGGCCAGATATTGTCCCCTCTTGCGGAATCTCGCTGAAAGGAAGAATCATGCACATGTCATGCAAGCGATCCGGAGGCTCGAGCTGAGGAACGCTAGGCTCCTGCGATCGCCGAAGAAAGTTCCTTCGGCCTCACAGACACCGGCTGGCCGCGTCTATCGGGTACTGGACTCGGTAGACTACAGCAAGCCAGTGCGTATTGAGGACTTGTCCTGTGACTGCATGGAGATAATCGCCGACGCTCCACGCTTGATCGGTGTTCTCCTCCAGTGGGCATGTACTTATCACCGAGCAGGAGCACACAGGATCTATCTGGCGACGCGATTACTTCGTCGATGGAACCATCTCGGCGCGGACGTATATGACGGCATAGTTTCACACCTCCGCGACATGACGTGGGTTGCTACCGGCGATTCAAATATACTCTTCAAAATCGTTGCTGAACTGGTCCGTTCAAAGACTTTCGCTACTGGGCGCTACCTTCAGTGGCTTATTGCTACGGGATCTACAGGTCACAACACAGATCTGTCTTCAGTAAGTCATGCCCCACAAGTTCCATCTGTTGGTTCTAACTATTCGATAGCCGCAGTCCTGGCCGTTGCGTTTGATCACCGAGATACCCCTCAGTGGGCTACCGGACCAAATCCGTACATTGCGGAGCACACTCCTTCGTGGAACCTTACACTCCGCCGAGTTGGAACAACGAGCTCTTGGCTACGCTGAGCACATGATATCTCAGACCTTACCTACCTTGTTTGGCATCTACAGTACCACAAATAAGCTCAACAACGACGAGCTAGACAAGCTCAGTTCGACGATCAAGCTCGAACTGGGCATTTGGTTGCGTCAACACGTCGCTCAGTATGCCGAGGTTAGCGCGCAGTAAGTATTCTCGTAAATTAACCGTGACTTCGCTTACATTACACAGCATACCCACGAAGGACTCCTCAGTCGAAGAAACCGCCGCGGTCTCTCTTCTAACGCCCTGGGACTTTCACACTGTAAGATCGTACCTTGAGCGATTCGGAGACCTTGCTATCCTTGCGGACATTGTCGGCGTCGCAACTACATCCTTGGACTCCAGTGTTCTTGCTTCTGCTGCGGACACGATCAACTACCACGCCAGAACCTTTCGTGCAATAGGTGCCTTTGACCCACTGTTTGCTAGAATTGCCACAAGATATGCCGCTCTACGAACTGTCCGACTCCCGGATCGCGAATTACTGCTTAGTCTTGCCAGTCTAGCTCGTACAGCACAAGCTGATGGCCAACTCCCCCAGCTCCTCAACTATGATTTGAGCCAACTGAACCAAAGAAACTCTCTTGTAGCCTGTTCACCAGCCTCCGACAACATGGGTGAGGTCATGCAAACAGGATCGTCTTCCAATGACGAGATTGAACGCATACTTTCGAGTGGTACCAGCATGGATCAACAGATGATGGGCCGAGTACTGAGGAAGATCGTCAGCAACCTAGAGGAACATCTAGCCAAGGGCTCTTTCCACTTGAACAATCACCATGCATGGTTCCATCGGCTGCGCTGCTTCGATGAGCCGACCTTCGACATGGTCGTGAATGAATGGCTGCTTCTGAGCTTGATGGCTCAAAGGACTGATACCCTACGGGTAGCCTTGCCTACACTTGTTGGTTCAGGCTGTATTCCTTTGGCGTCCTTCCTTGATTCACTCAGAACTTGCATCGCAAAATTCAAGACCAATCCTTCTGAAGGTGGCCTCCAAACTGCTCTCAAAGGCATGATGATCACTCTGCCGTCTGACGCTCTAGTTCAGTCTTGTTCGCCGCAAGATGCATATCGATACCGCTTGGAGCAACGAAAGCTCTGCTTGGAAACCGAAGGGTGCTTTACGCAATGTGTTAGTGAGGTGATTGGGCTTGCTTCAACCATTACTTCTCAGAAGGCTCAGGGACAAGTCTCAGAGTTCCTACGCAGTAAGCCCATGCTGCATGTTCTGAAACATCGCATTGCCGGCGATCCAGGATGCTTGTCAAAGTTGAACAGGGATGCCTCGAGTCATTTGCTCAAGCCGTCGTTGGACAGCCTACTTGACCCCAAAGGTCACTTACGGTTGCCCGACAAGAGCCCTGAACAGCAGGTACTTGCAGTTTTTGCACTTACTAGCGAGTTGTCTTTACCAATCTGCCAAGCGACTATCGAGCAGCTGTTCTCATCTAGTGCAACCGCGCTGGGAGGCTCCGGTGAGGTACTTTCTGCTTCTCTCTTGAGTGCCATCAAGACAGCAGTGGAAGAGGATCAACCTTCAGGACTAGGGCTACTTGCGAGCTTGGACGCTGCTCTCACCGACCAAATACGACAGCACGCTGAACGCGAGATCTTGAATGCCTCTAGCTTTTTGTGTATGACATCCACCGTCAAAGTAGAGGAACCAGAGAAGGTCTCGCCCGCAGTAGTACAAAAATATCTCACTGTCATCGATCTGACTTCCAACAAGCGCGCGACATCTACGGAACAGATTGCGCTTCTCCAAGCCTTGGTCGAGAGGTTCAAAGGCATAAGTCAAGCTCTTGAAGACAACAGACTCTCTGTTCTAGAGATTTATGTTTGGTTGAACGCCCTACTTCGTCTGGTAGTATTTCATGCACCGGACATGTTGGCCGAGGCTACACATCCACATCAGACCGCTTTGATGAGTGCCATGGCTGCCTTGCTCATGCATCCGTCTTTGGAACTATATCCTACGATTACCGAACATGTCTTTGATGTCACTGTGTTCTTGGCCGATTACATAACGGATGATGTTCGGTTCCACGTTACTCGGTTGGAAGGAGCAAGGCTTGCAAGCGATGCGCGTTGTGTCTTCATCCTGGGAGTAACGGCTCCCGTCGACGGCTGGCTTGTCCTGGCCAAGCCCGTCAACACCCCTCTGGTCCAGGCATCGTCTCAACCACCGACACCAGCGCCCCTTCAGAATCAGCCATCACCGTACCAGAGCCCGCAGGTACCTGCGAGTGGCTCTGCAACACCGCAACAACGCTATTTCCAACAGCAACAACAAAGACAACAGCAAATGCAAGCGGCTCAACAGGCTCAACAGATACGTGCGCAGCAGCAGTACCACCAGCACCCGCAGAACAAGATGCTGCCCGCACAACTCCAAAGAACCCCGTCAGGCCAGGCCTCACCCTCTCCACTGCAGCAAATGTCGCAAATGCAACAG